GCCAAAGGAAGCCGGTAATACTTTGATGGTGTAAAATATGTGTAATCTACAGCTCTGTATGATGCAATCATAGTGGAAACGGGAAGGTAGCCGGCATTGAGCATACAAACTTTAAGGGAGGACAGTAAGCCGGCTTTGTCACATCGTGAAACAAAAAACAGTTCTGGCTGCCGTCGCTCGTTGTCTCAGGGACAAACACGCAGCAGGCCTCACATTCAACCGGATCCATGCAAATCAGGAAGAGGATTTACTGCAGCGTTCACACACTGTAACCCAGTGGCGAACCGTCAGGGCCTTCAAGGTATTCAGAGAATACCCTGGAACACTCAGATAAACAAAACATCGATTTAATTTTATAAATAAAATGTATGTAAAATGAATAAATGAGAATCCTATCTGTGTTGTTGATCTGTAATATTACAGTGTTACGTTGATTTGTTTGTCCTTCTCGGACCATGCGCTACGCATTTCAGTGGTTTTGTGTTAGAAAAAAAAGCAACCAATCAGATCTTGTTCTGGGTCTCTGGGTAGAATATCCTTCAACCAAGGTATTCTATATCCTTGATAGAATGCCCTGGCCGTTGCACTGAATGAGAGCGTACATTTGGACTGACAGTTTGGTCAACCAATCTTATATGGATTTGTAGCCAATGGGCGTATTCTTTCAGAGTTTCCCTCGGTTCCAGGGTATTCTAGAAGGCCCGCTAGTTCACTGGCTCGAGACAGCGGATCGAGATGAATGCGACGAAGCAATTCATGCCGTTTTGTTGTTTTTAACGTTGAAATGGCAAGTGCAACAGGTGAAGATGATGTTGTTGCGGAATTGTTGCGAGTACCCTTTTCAAGACGACAATTCAGTGAAAAGACGGACATTATAACGGCGGGGGAGGGTGTGTGTGTCTACAGAAGGTCCAGTTGTGATAAACACGGTTCCCCACTGCTGTAACCTTCTCGCATTAGAAAGTTGTCAGATCCTGTTCCCAAAATGTAAACGGATTATCTGTCTTTGTAAAGTGACTGACATTTTATTGAAAGATTTTATTACATTTGCAACTAGAGAAAATGAAAAGGACACTATTTTAATATTTAAGTCATCATGTTGGTCACTTTTAAAGTAATTATGACAAATATTTGCTTGGTGTAGCTTGTCAGATATGAGTATTACAGGATAAATGATAATGAATTTGATATTGTTTGGTTTTTAATTGTTGGTCTGACATATGACAATTAATATATGTATGAGTATTAATGTCGTATCCATCATGTGTTAGCTACCTTTTTCTGATTATGTATTTAAGTGTATTTAGTTTTGCATTTCTTGTAACTAAATCCGTGTTTTTTGTAACTTTGTTAAGTTTCATACTCTTAAGTTATCGAGTATGAAAAGAGCCTTTAGCTGCCACCCTATATTTGACATTTGACCTGGCATTGCAGTCATTGAACATACAAATGCATAGAGATACAAAAATGACACTTCTACCTAGGCTGTCACAACACCACACACACACACACTCGTACAAAACTTCATTGTAATTGTAAACTGTTTCAGTAATTGCACGTTGTGAATGTGTTTGACGGTGTGATCTCGCCTGGCTCACTACTCTAATTGTCTAAGGCTAATTTAACAAGTGACAGATGTGAGAACAGCCTCTAACCTACCCCCCCTGCAACACACACACACACACACACACACACACACACACACACACACACACACACACACACAGGAACCCGCCCTCTCACAACCATTACTCTAATAATTAGTGCCTCTGAGGCTTTGAATGGAGCACAGCGGGATGTGAGAGGGTGCGTGTGTACCTGGGTGTGTGTGTGTGTGTGTGTGCCATTGTGTATGTGGGCGTGTGTCCCAGTGTGCCTGTTAATGTGAGACGACATAAAGTAAGTGCTTGTTGGTCTATGTAAAAAAAGTCTCTAATTACATATGTTTGCATGTGAGAACGAGAAAAGGAGAGGTTTGTGTATGTCTGTACAGTATGTGTGTGTGAGTGTGTGTGTATGTCTGTCTGTATGTGTGTGTATGGAGGCTTTATCAGGTGTCTGGAGACCCCCGACGGAAGCAGGGAGGGCGGTGTTATGAACAAATAATTGATACAGAAAGAAAGAAATAATTAGCAGATTTGGGCCGGAGTCCATGGTCCCTTATTCTCTCCTGCCAGGTCTGCAGAGCGAGGGGGGGGGCGCTCCCTGGAGGAACGCACGATGGAGGGAAAAACACTGATGGATGCTCTTAAGGGAAGGCCCCTGGACACACACAGCACAAAAGGATTTGCCCGCAATTAGCTGGCAGAGTCGCCGGGCTCACCTGTGGCACCTGTTATGTGTGTGAGAGAGTGCTTGCGTGACAAAGTGGCGAGGAGAGTGGGGACTGTGTGTGTGTGTGTGTGTGTGTGTGTGTGTGTGTGTGTGTGTGTGTGTGTGTGTGTGTGTGTGTGTGTGTGTGTGTGTGTGTGTGTGTGTGTGTGTGTGTGTGTGTGTGTGTGTGTGTGTGTGTGTGTGTGTGTGTGTGTGTGTGTGTGTGTGTACCTGGCAGCAGTGCTTGTTCCTCCATCTGGTGTGAACGCAGGTGTTGGTCTGCAACAGTTCCTGGATGAGCACAACAGATAAACAGAGAGAAATACCAAGAAGAAAGTTAACCGGGGTCCAAACAACAAATGCAACTAGTAGACACACAGACCTGGTGCAATAGAGAATTTCTAAACCAGAAAGAGTGGTTTCTAACCTGTGGACTTTCTCAATGGCTGAAAGGGATGACTTTCTACCTTGATCTTGAAAGGATACGTTGTTTCCTTAAAAACAAACTGGATAGGTTTTGGAAAATCTGGAAAACCTTTTTTTACGACTTTCAAGAGCTTATTGGTCTACAACATGATTGGGAGAATGAAGACACTTGAATATTATTTGGAATGTGTTTCTATTTTCTTTTCTTCTTTCTTTTTGCTGATAGTATGTAAAGTCTGTCTATTAAGTGTCATTTCTGTGCATAAAAAATAATAAAGAGATGTTTGAAAAGTGGTTTATTTTTGCCTCGAATGAAGTTTGAAACAGTGAACTCTGGCGTAACAATTCACTGAGTTCCCTCCTCTTTGTGCCGCCCATACTTGCATTAACTATTCTGCTGGTACACAGCACCGGACCCTACTCACCACAGGTGTCCCTGCAGCACTTCCTGCTCAGGGAGGGGTGGGAGAGAGTTGAAAGAGGATGCAGGTAAGGACTTCTTGTGTGCATGCCAGCGTGTGTGTGTGTGTGTTTTGTGAATGTGTGTAAGGTCAGTCATTCCTGCCACATTCCAAACCCAGCTGGGGTGATTGGATGGGAGGAGAGAGGGACGGAGGGGGAGGAGGAGGAGGAGGTGTGGAGGTGAGATGGGGTGTTTCTCGTTTCAGACAATGGTTACGGGTGAGAGGAGGGAGGTGGGGAGTGTGTGTAACAGCCACAGACAGGTTCCAGCAAACAAAGCTAGGTCTGTGCTGCCACAAGTACAGAGGAGGGGGGGGGAGTAGAAGGGAAGGAGGAAGGGAAGGAGGGAGGAAGAGAAGGGAGTCTGCAGCCCCCTGATCCCCTCAAATATCCCCCTCGATGACAGAGCTCGGCCGAAAGAGAGGTGATGAGAGAGAAGAGGGAGAGGGGAGAACAAACGGGGGAGAGAAGAGAGAGAATGCCCCTATTTGTTAATCAATCGGCCGTTTCGGAAAGGGAAAACTCAGAAACTCCCCAGAGGGAGGAAGAAGACAAGGGGGGGACGGAGGGTTTAACAGAGGGGGCGGGCACCTCGAACTCCTTCAGCGAATCGCGTAGCTTCTCCGGTCGGCGGTTACTGGGGGTCCACGAATAGCCTCGAGCTACGGAGGAAAAACACGAGAAGAATCTGAAGATCATGTGACTCGAACTTTTTTTAGACACGGGAGAAATGTATATTTTTTTTAAGAAAGGCCCTCATGGGGATTCAGAAGAATGTGGCACCAACAACCAGAAAGGGTTAAGGGGTTAAACTCGAGATCTATGTATGAAAAGGGGGGGACATGAGGAATAAAGGGTGATGACAAGCAATCAGGCGGAATAAAGAGATGCAGGTACATGAAGCAGGCGTCCCACAATGCAATGCTGAATCTGTTGGATGCATACAGAGCAATGTCAGCACTTCCGTAATTTATCGAATCTGAGTTGAAACGTTTTCAATGTTCAAAAGTTCACATCATTTTTATCAAGAAATTCTGAGTCTAGCTTCTCAAATGTGATGATTTTCTGGTCTTCTCTGTCGTCATATTTAGGTAAAATAGTTACCTTTTTGGTTTTGGACTGTTGATAGGACAAAACATGCAACTTGAAGATGTCCCTTTGAGCTTTGGATCATTGCAATTGACCTTTTTCACCAATGATCTGCCATTTTATAGACTTCATTGAAAGATAATAACCATTGGTATCCGTTAATGCATATTTAATCCTCCTATATTAAATTGACTAGACAAGAGTATATTTATTTAGTTGAAGATTACATATCACAGCTTGATAGACTACTCTGTAATGCCTGTCCATGGATGGGCCTTTAAAAACATATAGAACTGAACAAGAAAATACATACAAAAACTGAAGGAAAGACACTGACACAATATATGATCATCTAACTTGACGACAAGCACCAGATCATTCAAGACTGACTACAACTTTAGTTTAAAATGATCAAAGATGTGATTAATTTAAAAGCACTGAGTGTAACAAGTAAAGGACAGCAAAAGGTAAAAAACCCAAATGAGGATTTAACAGATTGTAACATAAGATTTCCTATAGAGAGGCGAAGTCCCGCCCATCTACTTCCGACCCATGGCACCTTATTTCGGAAAAATTATGTATTGTAGTCAATGGGGAGAGGAAGATGATCTTTCGATCCCGTTTGAATTGTGCCACGAATTACACATATGATGTTTGTCGATTTAAAAGATAATTTCCATGTAAAAAAAGTCACAGTTTGAAATATAAGACTATGAAAAATATGCAACTACAAAGACTACAAATCCCAGAATCCCGGTCCCGCATGCTCGCTCTTACAAAGCGACTAACTCCCCTTGTGTGTATGTACAGCTCTCAACATGCCCAGACTTGTAGTGATTTTCACCTCTTTTAATACTTTTCGCCTCATTCTGAGAAAGAAGTGAAATGTGCCAACGTGACGGCCGTCTTGGTGTGTGGTGCGAGACGGGAGATGTAGTTCATTGAGCCGTTTCACAAAGAAAGTGTTACTTCACAGTTTTACGACACTTTTTTGCAAAAATTGACATGCAAAAATTGACATGCAAAAATTATCTTTTAAATTGACAAACATCATATGTGTAATTCGTGGCACAATTCAAACGGGATCGAAAGATAATCTTTTCTCCCCATTGACTTCAATACATTATTTTTCCGATACAAGGTCCCATGGAGGTCCACCGGAAGGGGAGGGACTTCGCCACTGTGTTAAGATATATTGTTATTACTTTCTGTGTAGTATCCCTTTTCTCAAATAAAACTAAACTTGTATAGGAGCCTCAAAGCGCCATCTACAAAAGTGTATCTATAATGCTTGGTTTTATTGGTATGTTAAGTGCTTATCAAAATCTGGGTTGGTACCTAAGATAGCTGAGAAAATCCCAGGAGGGAAAGTGATGAAAAAACAAATCTCTTTTA